TATATTTTCCATTAGTTATATAACACGTTATCAGCACGAAGCTCTGCCAAAATTATCATTGCTCAAGCCTCAAAGACTCTCGACATAACCTAAGATATTGGAGTAAGATCACAATATGATCAAGGTATGTAAATCTTAGATCCTTTCTTATCTTATTGTCTTATTTGTGTTGAGATTATCTCATTCCAATATATCAAGATGGGTGCTACTTCTCATTTCCATTGATATTTTATCACGTCGATCTATTTGGATTAACAAGAAAAGTATTAAAAGTGATGAGTTAATTTCTCAGTTCTTCGTGTTATCATATACTTATCAATCATACATTGATATGTAGAAAATGCAAGTTCCAAGAGCCCATATATTCCCCAGAAGTGGAAATTGAAGAATACAAGGGCAAAGAAAGAAGTGGACATGGTAACAAGAAGATTGGTTTTGTATGTTACCATTGTAATGGAAAATTACATTTGTCACGTACCCGTTGTACACAAAAGACCTTATTCTACCAAGAATCAAAGGGAAAAGCTAATTCATATACGCTCCTGCAATATCAATATTATGAAACATGTTTTTTGTATTATAAGTTGATATATTCTCCATTAAAGATGAAAATGATATCACTTGAGAAATTTTCATTTCAAGAATTGAATGAAATAATCTATTCTCAAAGTGAATGGAGCTATAAACATAATTATATATATGTTAAATGTATTGTTTGGATCTTTTCACCAGAAGTGAGAAAAGAGGAGTAAAAGGAGAACTATAAATAAGGATGACGCCACAATTACATTATCAAAGTCATGATAACATAATGTACCTGTTGTACATTATAATGTATAATGAAACGCATATATAAATTTAAAATCTGGTATTGTTCCAAATAATCTTATTTAATTTTCACAATTGTAGTATTATGCTTCTAATTTCTTTTATGTTTTATTGTGATGTTATTTTTCATGCATAATTTAATTTGATAACCTTTATCTAGAACAATTAACTAGATAAGTTCATCATTTTTGTCTTAAGTTTGAAATATTATCATTTATTACTTTTATTATGTTTTTATAAAGTATGAGTATTAGAAAAATTCCATATAAACTATATGGTAGAGAACATAAATATGAAAAGCTTCCGAAGAGCTTATGTTTGGTTACTTGAAGTAACTAAATTATGTACTCGTGATAACAATTTGTGATGATATTCACTATGAATTTGTGTTTACTAAGAATGCATCAAATCATAAGTCCCCGGAAGGGTGGAATATGGTACAAAATATGGTAAAGCTTTAAAGGAGCTAATTTTGTGGCCTGAAGGAACCAAACTACCTAGTGATGATGGATTACCCAATTAAAAGGATATTCGTAAAATGAATATCTTATCAAGAAAATAGTGAAACTAATATTTGCATCACAAATATGTACTACATGTATATTAGTACAATCAGTACACATAAAAGTGTAAACCAGAAGTTTACAAGATTTGATAATTTGATAATTGGTTGATCCGGTTAGACCATCCCAGATCTTGGTGTGAAAAAAATTTCTTTGAGAATTCATGAGAACGTCATATGAGAAGTCAAAGAACTCTTCAACTAAAAGAGTTATTATAGCATGCTTGTTCTCAAGGAGAATAGAACAATTAATAATCACTTGTAAAAGAGTTGATAAATCTCTTGAGATTTTATGGACATGTATGCAACACAATACATCAATCATGTGGATCATTTGTGAATTTTATGGGTTCATGCATCAAATGGATGATCACATGTATTTTATCAAATCGCAACCCGATGTTTGCGATATTGGTTGCCTCACTAGCTATGGATACATTGTGATGGTTATCCAATCAAACATCACTTTGCTTAAGAGAACAAGTTGAGCCTTCCGATCTCTTGTTGAGGACATGCTAGCTGGCAAGTGATATTATTGGTTCGCATCTAACCAACAAGTTATCATAAGTTCCCCCCTTTTACAAATGATTTTGGTCAAAAACCTAACATTTCTCATATGAGAATATAAGGGTGTGCCGCATACATCCCAATTGCTCCACCATAGTATCTTAAGTTGATTCTCGTTGGAAATTGAGAATTTGTGTTGGGTATGAATTCCAAATGGGAAATTTGTTTGCGAAATTATTGTTTTGATAAATCACTTTTCCAACATTAAGGGGCAGAGGCAAAACAACTAGACAATGAGATTATTTGGAATGAGTTATCAATATTTAATTTTGATCCTCAAAGTTAGAAACATGAACCTGAAGTTCATAAGATGAATTGCATTACCGACTAGCAAATGCATTTACTGACCATACAAAGTCACCAAGTCACGTATACTTGTTGTGAATGCTCCAACAAAATTTGATATCCTTGTTGGATACTCTAATATTAAAAATGTGTCCAAAAGAGAGCATGAAGCGTGATAGACCAATCGGTTCCAATGATAAACATCCTCGAGAAAGAAAAGGAGCTGTAATTAGAATGGTCAACTCGAGGACGTGAAAACTCAAGAAGTGTAACCAATAATAAAATATAATTTTAGTTCCAGAAGAACACACGTCTCTGAAAGTTGTGAAAGCGAAGAGATCTCAAAAACCATATTAGACTACAAATACTGGAACCGTAATGAAATCATTGTCGATGAAATTTGTTTGTTGTACTTCAGTACTGAATATGATATGTACAAGTGAGTATCAAGAGTAAAACTCTATTGATGCATGCAAATGATGATGTTATTGGCCAATATAGAAAGAAATCATGAAACTTGCGCAAGAAGCATAAAGTTTAAGGACCAGAAGTCCTTGCACCTAAAAAAGGGCAAAACTAGCGGGATACAAATAAAGTTTTGTGCAATTGGAAAGTATGAAATTGTGAGAGATATCACATAATGTTTTGAAATGGGCTTCTCGAAGAGACCTATCATTGTTTAAGAGGAGTTATACTCCCCTGTGGTGGATGCAACTACTTTTTCAAATCAATGTTTGAAAATTGTCGTGATAGCCTATTTGTTTGAATTTCCTGAAGATGTTAAATATATTTGAAACTCCAAGAAGGATTAATTACTCTTAGAAGGATTAATTTACCTAAAGTAAACAAGTAAAGTTCTCGAGAACATATATAGATAGACTAGGAAAATTCCTTGTGTGGGTTGAGATAATATAGACGAATGTGAAATACTCGTCTAAGTGAACACCTACAACAGTAGGGTAAATGGACCTTAAAAGGTTAAATTCAGATAGAGTGCATACGAGTATTTGCATTGTGCATATGTAGTTGTGTTGTCTGTATGTGTTTCAAGGATTTTAAATTCTTGATTTATGAGTTGTGATTTACTTTAAAGTATGAGTTGTGTTTTATGAGTGTGCTTTGTCTAGTTCATATGTTTCTATAATGTGAGTTTTGTTATTATCTTTCATTATATGAAAGAATTTCTTGCATCAATTTGTGTTAGTTAAGTTTTTTTTTGGTGACGATCTCATATTATGTTGATGATATGACTATCATTGGATCTCCTGAAGAGCTTTCTAAAGCAGTTGATTGCTTAGAGACATAAGTTAAATTGAAGGATTTAAGATCCTTTTTATGGGCAAGGAATGTAATGTTGAAAAACTGGGAAAGTAATTTTGCATGAACGAATTATGTTCATCAAATAACATTAGGATCCTAAGATCACTAGAAGTGACCAAAGATCCATTTAGAAATCAAGAAAGAAGTGAAACATTAGGTCCTGAAGTACCATATGTTGATGCATTAGAGCACCAATGCACCTTGCTAGCCAAGCACCAAATAAATTATCATTTTGGTGTTGATAATATTGGCAAGATACAATGTTTCCCTCATTACAACGTTGGAAAATACTTTGTTACCTCCGGGAACAATATATGCGATTGTTCTATTATGGTATTATCAAAGAGAGATTTGGTAAACTATATATCCAAATCCTATATATCATTTGATCCTCATATTGGTTGATCGGAGACGAGCTATCTCTTACATGTGGTTATATAAATGTTTCATAAAGAAACAAAACAAACTATAATGGGCAAGTCCTGAATGTCTTTCGTTACACTTTGTGATCCACCATATCTCAAGTACTTGTGGTTGTGAACTATTTTCAAATGAAATGATCCTGACGATCATATATGAAGAAAATCTAAAGATCATGCATCAAATTGACAATCTAGAAGATTGTTCACTAACTCACTCCCGACAACAATCTTTCTAAAAGTTTTTCGTGAAATTTGAGTTCAACGACTCAATAATCTGAAGTGATGTGGTCCCGAGGGGGAGCATATACGCACTGCACTCTTTTTCCCTTAACCATGGTTTTTTTCCCAATGGGTTTTCCTGGTAAGGTTTTTAACGAGGCAGTATGAGATAGCGTAATGCAATCTAGTGGACATCCAAGGGGGATTATTATGTAAATATTGATATATGGATGACCAATGACCTACCACATTAGATGCTCACTTGGGAGTTACATGTAACTCCTATTTCTACATCATTATCTCTTATTCATACGCATTGTTATAAGGATGTAGTGGTTACCAAAATGCGCCTATAAATATAACACACTATTGTATCAAAAGTGAAGAATGAATAAGAAGGCTAAATTACATGTTTGGTCACTCAAATTACATAAATCTTTCACGTTTCCCACCCGAATTACTTTTCTTTCTTATTGGCCACTAACTTTACGAACCATTCACCGTTAGTCACCGACCGTCAGACTCGGTTAACTCCGTCAGTTTTTTTATGACGTGGCAAACAGAATTGCTGACTAGACCGTTAACTTGATGGCATGTCAATTTATAAGAAAATTATAAAACAAAATAATTTACCCCTCATCCTTATCGTCGGAGCCTCCAACTCCATCGTCGTCGTCCTCTCCAAGCTCCCTGCCGACTTTCAATCCGTCCCCGATATTGTCTCCTGGAGTTCCCATGCCATTCCTTCCTTCTCCAACCAGTATACATACCATTAAAATCTGAATATTTCGACAATTACAAATAATCTGACCCTCACGATTGATCATGTTTGGCAAATTGAATTCTTAGGGATTTTATTTCCCATTATCAATTTTATCTCACTGGTGAAAGGGAGTTGACTGCAAAATGGAACTCGCAACTAGTTTTTGAACCTAGAGCGCGACGGAGCGGGGCGAAGAAACTTGGAGCGGATGGTGGCGGGACAAAGAGTCGGGCCATTGATGCGGAATAACAGTGGCGGCACCACTAAATCCATAGTCGGAATCGCGATTGCGCTTGGGATCTTTCTCGGTTGCGCCTCTGCTTTCTTCTCGGTCTACCAGCAGTCGATACAAGGGTTTTTTACGAGCTGGGAGAATTTTGGTCGAGCAGCAGGGAGAAAGAAGTCGAGAGCTCTAGCAAATTTCTCTCCTTCTTGCATACGACCAGCTACAGCGGATGCTTGAGAATCAGATCCGTTTCTTTTCCATCGACGGCGGGGAGAAGAGAGGAGGGGAAGGCGGAGCAGATCTATTGGTCTGGCTTCCGTGGGGAGTCCTTTTGTTTGGTTTGGTTGTTTCTTGTTTGGCAGAGGGAGGAAGTTAGATTGGGAGAGGATGTTTGGCGGAAGATGGACAACACGAAGAAGACGAAGGTGGGGGCCACTTCGTTGTTTGATTTTTGACTTATTATTATTTTTAATATTTTATTTTTATTCTTTTAATTGGCATGTCATCAAGTTAACAGTTCAATCAGCATTTTTGTTTGCCACGTCATCAAAAACTGATGGAGTTAACGGAGACTGACGGTCGGTGACTAACGGTGAAAGGATTCAGAAAGTTAGTGGTGAATAAGAAAGAAAAGTAATTCAGGTGGCAAACGTGAAACATTTATGTAATTTGAGTAACCAAACATGTAATTTAACCGAATAAGAAGAACTCTTCCCCTTTTTTCTTTCGTGTCTTTTTCTCTCTAATTTTCTCTTTTATTTTCCTTTAGTTTTATATTAGTTTCACTTATTTTTTTGTACCTAGCTAGCAAACTAGCAGAAGTTTCTTCTTTCCGCTGATTCCCATTTCGCGGTACCCGACCCATATTCCTGCCCACCCCCCGCCCGCCCAGTGCCCACCCCCACTTGGGTACGCTCAGCTTTCACGTGCTCTTTCTCTTAGCTTGCTCCCATGGTCAGTCCTTCTTTCCTCCTCCTCCTCCTCTCTTTCTCTCTCTCTCTCTTTCGCTTTCGCTTCTAGCTTATTCTTTTTCTGGGCAGAGAGAGCTCTCGGGAAAGTTGTCAGTTCATGAGGTATGGAGCACAAAGTTGGAACCTTTTTCATCTCCAGCAGAGCTAAAACCAGAAGGGTTATCTATTATCATCACTTCATTTGCTGATTTTTTGAACTGGTTCTCACTGTGAATTTAAGAGATTTAGGGTGAGGTATTATTTTTGCCCCTTGGTTCTATCTCTTTTTGGGATTTGTTTTCATTAGTTAATTGCAGGTGGTGGGTTTAAAGTTCAGCAAGACTAATGATTCCAGGGTTTATTGGATTCCAAGCAAAAAAGGTTTGAAGTGGGAGGTGGGTCTTTTGGAATTGATTTTTTACTGGAATAGTAAAACCAAGCATGGTTTAGGTCTCCATGGAAGTTCATTTACATGGTTGGCTGAAGGGTAGAAGGTAGTTTTTTAAGAAAGTTCAGAGGGAGAAGATGAAGAGGAAGGAGACTCAAGATTCAACATCTAGCTCCACAACAAATGGAAGAGCAAGGAGCAGCTGCTCAGCTCAATCAAGACAATCAGCACGTGCCAAAATTGATCAAACTCCAATCGATGCAAAGCTAGATGAGGAGTTTGAGGAATCGGAGCAGCACGCCTTTGACTACTCCACCTCGGTTAACCTCAACGCCTCAAATTCCACCGGCAACAATGTCCCTTCATCTGAAGCAGTCTCAGCATACCTCCAGAAGATGCAAAGGGGGAGGCTCATTCAGCCTTTTGGCTGCTTAATTGCTGTTGAGGAACAAAGTTTCAAGGTCCTAGCTTACAGTGAAAATGCTCAGGAGTTGCTGGACTTGGCACAGCTTGCTGTTCCAAGCATGGGGCAGCAAGAGGCACTTGCTTTCGGTATGGATGTTAGAAGATTCTTTCGTTCATCTGGTTCAGCTGCCTTGCAGAAGGCTGCGAATCATCCAGAACTCAACCTCCTCAACCCGATTTTAGTCCACTGCAAGACTTCAGGCAAGCCGTTCTATGCCATCCTTCATAGAATCGATGTTGGGTTGGTTCTTGATCTTGAACCGGTTAATATGTCCGACCTGCCATTGACTGCTACTGGTGCATTGACTTCTTACAAGATTGCTGCTAAAGCCATCTCGAAACTACAATCTGTACCTAGTGGAAGTATAAATCTGTTATGTGATGTTCTAGTGAACGAACTTCGGGACTTAACAGGTTATGATAGAGTAATGGTGTACAAATTTCACGATGATGAGCATGGTGAGGTTGTTGCAGAATCTGTTAGGTCTGACTTGGAGCCGTATCTTGGGTTGCATTATCCCGCTACCGATATCCCTCAAGCTTCGAGGTTTCTGTTTATGAAGAATAAAGTTAGAATGATATGCGACTGCTTAGCTCCTTCTGTAAAGGTAACACAAGATAAGAGCTTGGCTGAGCCAATTAATCTCTCCAGTTCAACTCTAAGAGCTCCACATGGGTGCCATGCTCAATACATGGCTAACATGGGTTCCATTGGATCGCTAGTCATGTCTGTTACTATTAATGACAATGAAGATGGGAATGACATGGAAAGTGACCTGCAGATGGGGAGAAAGCTGTGGGGGTTGGTTGTTTGTCATCATACAACGGCGAGATTTGTTCCATTTCCGTTGAGGTACGCCTGTGAGTTCTTGATTCAAGTTTTTGGTGTTCAGATTAGTAAAGAAGTGGAGATTGAAGCTCAGAGGAAAGAGAAGCACATAATACAAACTCAAACTTTGCTCTGTGACATGCTTCTTAGAGATGCTCCTGTAGCAATTATGACTCAGAAACCGAATGTAATGGATCTTGTTAGATGTGATGGAGCTGCACTTCTCTATAGGAAGAAATGTTGGCTGCTGGGAGTTTCCCCGAGCGCTGAACAGATGAAGGATATGGTGGAATGGTTGCTTGAGTATCATGGTGATAGCACAGGGTTAACTACGGATAGTATTATGGAAGCCGGTTATCCAGGAGCTTCAGTTCTTGCTGATGCAATTTGTGGCATGGCTGCTATAAGGATCACTTCAAGAGACTTCCTCTTTTGGTTTAGATCTCACACGGCGAAAGAGATCAAGTGGGGTGGTGCGAAACACGACCCTGATGATAAGGACGGTGGTCTGAGAAAGATGCAGCCGAGATCTTCATTCAAGGCATTTCTAGAGGTGGTTAAGTGGCGGAGCTTGCCTTGGGAGGATCTTGAAATGGATGCTATTCATTCTTTACAGCTGATATTGAGAGGCTCATTGCAAGATGAAGATTTGGTCAATGATGATTCGACAGTGATTGTCCGTGTTCCTCCATCATCGTCTGATAAGAGAATCCAGAGGGTGGATGAGTTGAGGAGAGTGACGAATGAGATGGTTCGTGTAATAGAAACGGCTGCTGCTCCCATCTTTGCTGTTGATGGTTCAGGTTGTGTAAATGGGTGGAATTCAAAAGCAGCCGAACTTACTGGATTGAGTGTAGAACAAGCAATTGGAGTGCCTTTGGTTGATATTGTCGACGGCGATTCGATTGATGTGGTCAAGTCTGTTCTGTTGTTAGCTTCTGGAGGTGATTCTATTAATTTTGGTTTATGTTCTATGTGAATTGAGTCATTATAATTGTTCTTTTTGGTAAAAACGAAAGAATAATGAAATTCTAAGTGTATGTTTGTAAACCAAAATCAAATAATTTAGGCTTGGTATTGGTTTCGGTTGTTGATTTGCAAGTTCTTTGTTTTGGTTTTGTTTAAACAACCAAACTAAAAAAACTTTATTGAGCCTAAATGGCTATTTACCCATTGTGATATTTATTAAAAATTACTAAAATTTAGTTGACTTATTAGTTATTACTGAAATTTGTTGTAATTTAAGGATGTTGAACTTCATGCTTAAACTTCTACTAATTTTGGCCAATCTGTTGTATCATTTGCTTCATCTGGTTACCCAGAACCGAAACCAATCTCACCATGCAATGCCTTTACACTTTCTTTTCATGGCAAGTCATATCTTTCTTCATTTCTTACCATTAGTGGATGTAATCTGATCCCTCACAACTTCATAATGACAGGCAAAGAAGAGAAGAACATGGAAATCACCTTCAGAACGTTCGGTCCTAAGGAAAACGATGGCCCGGTCTATCTCGTGGTTAGTGCATGCTGCAATAGAGACGTCAAGGGAGTGATAGCAGGGATCTGCTTTGTCGGGCAAGATCTCACTCGACAGAAGATGGCCATCGATCAATACAACCATGTCAAGGGAGACTACCTAGGAATCATTCGGAACAAGTCTTCCCTCATACCCCCTATTTTTATGAGCGACGAGCATGGCAAATGCATAGAGTGGAATGAAGCAATGCAGAGTTTAACTGGCTTGAAGAGGGAAGAAGCTGTCGATCGATTACTTCTTGGTGAAGTTTTCTCCGCTGGTGATACCTCTGGCTGCTGCCGGGTCAAAGGTCATGACACTTTGACCATGCTAAGGATCTTACTGAACCAGGCACTCGCGGGCCAGGATTCACAGCCATTGTTGTTCAGTTTATTTGATCAGCATGGTAAAGATCTCGACGCTGTAGTTTCTGCAAACGGGAGAACCAATGGTGCAGAGGGTCGAGTTTCTGGCGTGCTATTCTTTTTATACGTACCGAGCAGAGAATTACAGTATGCTCTTCAGGTCCAGAAAATCTCGGAACAGGCTGCATCTACTAGTCTCAACAAGCTTACGTATGTTCGTCAGGAGGTGCAGAAAGGCTTGAATGGTTTGTCATTTATGCATAATCTAATGAACAGTAGTTCAGATTTGAACGAAGAGCAGAAGCAGCTTCTCAAGACAAACAATTTATGTCACGAACAGTTGACCACGATAGTCAACGACACTGATATTGAGAAGATTGAAGAACTGTATGTTCTTCCCCAAAGATTGAAACTCTTATTGCACTACAAGTTATTATTTGATACTCTTCCATTGACCTGTTTTTGTTTCATTGCAGGTATCTGGATCTTCGAACTGTAGAATTTAATCTTGCGGAAGCTTTAGACGTGGTAATGAAGCAAGCCATGATATTGAGTCGAGAACGAGGAGTTAAGGTTGTTTGTGATTTCCCAGGTGAAGTGTCGTCCATGAACTTGTATGGAGATAACTGGAGGCTTCAGCAAGTTCTGGCTGATTTCTTGACGAATTCAATACTCTTCACCCCACGGTTCAATGAATCATCAGTGTTGTTTAAAGTAGTGTGCCGGAAGGAACGAATGGGAGTTAAAGTGCAGATTGTCCACCTCGAGTTTCGGTATGTTTGCTCAATTCAAGTTTCTCGGTTGAACATAAAGTTACAGTATTTTAATTGACCTTCTGTATGCTACTGATTGCTCGCAGAATAAGCCATCCAGCCCCTGGTGTGCCTGAAGATTTAGTACGGGAGATGTTTCACTCCCGGGGTAGAGGTACCTCGAGGGAAGGTCTCGGCCTTTACATGAGCCACAAGCTTGTAAAGGTCATGAATGGAAATGTGCAGTACCTCAGAGAAGCAGAAAGTTCATCGTTCATTGTTCTAATTGGGCTCCCTCTTGCCACCCAGATTGATCCATTGAAGCAGCCCCCGAGGCTTAAAGAGTCGGGATGATGATGAGTGGAAGAATATATACATCCATGCAACTTTTAAGAAGGTACAAGGGACCAGGATGCCTTGTATTGCAAGTAACCTTGCTTAGACTATATATATATATATGCCTTTTCTGGCTATCCAAGCATTTCGTGGGATGTGAATCTGCAGGGAAGCCGAGAAATACGGGCAGTTACCGTGGGAGAGCTGCAAGTGCAGGCTTGTTACACTGTATACTCTTTTACTCTACTCTGTTATAAGTTGTAACTTGTAAGAATGGTAGTATGATGCGAGTGGCGATTCTTTTGTTTTTTTTAGTTTAACGTTCCAATGAGAAGCTTTAGCTTCGAATCTGCCTTTCCTGTTCGTTGGATGAGCTTAATAGGCCAAAGTTACGACATCTCTAAAATGGGGTTTTCGTGAAGGGGAGATGATTTGTTTCCTCTTGGAGATACAGCCAGGAAATGGATTCTGAACCGTGTAAATATATCTTGTAAATGATGTGCAGCAATGTTCTGTCATGTGCATTGATTTTTTACATGCAAATTTAGACGTGGATATATAGCTCGGAAGCGGAGAACAAAACTTCATTTATTCACATCAAGCTTTCTAACCTATAATCGCATAATACAATTCCAAATAGCTTTTTAACCTAAAATCGCATAATACAATTCCAAATGTATGGAAGGAATGAAGGACGAATTGGTGGTTATTTGAGACGGTGCCATTTTGTAGAAGACAACTGTCTTTTTCTGTCATTTTGTCTACTACTTATGTTTAAGCGTATCTCCAATTGCCTAAGCAAACCTCACAACACAATCCTTTGATCGGAACCGAGAGGAATTTTTGTGGTTTAAGGGTTTTCATTTTCAATAATACTATATGTTAGAGCTTTGAAGGTTTGAGGTTAAAAAGTTGGGTGGGCCGTGGGTCAACCATAGTCCATCCGCACCCACCCAATCTTTTGTGGTCACCTATTTTACAATCCACACCCACCTCAGAAACCACCCACATGAAAATGGGTGGGTCGATTGCGGGTGGATTTGTGGGTTCAACCATCCATGCTCACCCCTAGATTGAATGGTGCATCAGACGGAAAATATAATGAAAAAGGGAATATAAGAAGTTGGACACATTTTTTAGGGAACTTCTATTTAACGTCCTAACATTTCAACTTTAATGCCCTATACTTATCCAAACAGACAATTTTGCCTCCAACTAATTCCTAAGAGAGTTACTAATTAACGCCCTAAAATTCAAAAACCATTACTCTGAAATTACATATTTGACCCTAATCCCTAAAACGTACAAAAATTATCATTGCCCTATATCGTGACGCTCGACTGTCAAAGCCACCACCTCGTACAGGATTTTGTAGGGGCTTTCTTTCTCTTTCTACCCTCCAATTCCGTTTTCCTTATCCCTTCGAGATGAAATAAGGAAGAGGATTGGGAAGGTTATATTGAATGAATGGTTGGTTGCGGCAACCATGTTTTCCCCCACCAAACCCTTTCCACTATCAACCAAGGATGCAGATGATTAAAGCTTGGATTGAGAGTAATGCAACTGCTCGGTGGAAACGAAGAACATAGCTGGAGAAGAAACGTTTCTTCCATTGCTTCTCCACCAACATAAGTGAAGGACGAGACGACAACGTTTATCCCTGAACTTACCGTTAGATGGAGAAAGCCAACGCCAACGTAGACGAGACACGTGGCGGCTTATTTATTGTTTTATATAAATTACTGTTGAACTTCCCTTTCCATTTTATGTTTGTACGAACTTTACCTTTAGCAGTCATATATAAACGAAAGGAAGGAGGACCTTGCCTCCTTGCGGGTTTCCAACCCACACCTCCTCTATTCTTTCTTCCTTCAAACCCTAGCTCATTGAGCTTTTCTACATGGTATCAGAGCTAGACAAGGTCAAGTGATTTGCAATGGCGAACAACCAAACACCACGAACCCCAGGTGGCATTCCGCTGAATAGTGGTGCTATTCCTTTTGGCACCTTTGACGCGTAGTCAAACACTACCAAACATGGCAACAACAATAACGATGGCAGCGGACATGCAAATATTCTATTTGGTAATCCCTATTATATAAGCCCAAATGAGAATATTTCACAGTCGATCGCTCTGAGAACTTATATGGCCCATACTATCATATGTGGCAAAGGGCAATTCGTATGGCTTTGAAAACCAAACACAAGATTGGATTTATCGATGGATCCATCCCAATGCCTGATGTGGGAGATCAAAATTTTGGGTTATGGGATGCATCAAATATACTGGTTTTATATTGGATTCTTAATTCAATTGCTACGAAAATTAGACGTAGTGTTATGCAACATGAAAATGCTAGAGTTCTTTGGGAGGAATTGAAGAAGCATTTTGGTCTTCCTAATGCAATTAAGTTGGCAAACTTGGAAGATCAGATTACAACCTGTAAGCAGGGTTCCTTGGACATTACCCAATACTATACTGCATTCAAGGGATTGTGGGAAGAGAACCTTCAATTCAATACCATTGTTGAGTGTGATTGTGTCCCTCAAAGAACTCGACCATGTGCAGCTGTAGAGGCCTTCAAGCAGAAACAAGAGGTTGAATATCTGATTCGTTTCCTGAAAGGGTTCAGGCCAGAGTATGATGTTTTCCATACACAGATGTTAATGAGGAAGCCACTCCCAATGTGAACAATGCATTTGATTTGCTCCAACATGAACAAAAAATCAAAGGTGACAAATGTGGAGTGACTAGAGGTGTTCAGACAGTTGCTCTAGTTGTGTTAGGCAACTCAGGGAATAAGCATAAACTTGTAGAAGGATCACATGGCAAGAAATTCCGTAGGCACTGCAAAAAGGAGAACTACAACATTATAGATTGTTATTGGCTCAAGAGGAAAAGGCCAGAATGGCAGGAGGAAATGTGTTAGTAGCTGTTTCCCAAAGTGATTCCTACACTGACAATGACACAACCAGTTTAGACACCAAAATGAGCATTGACACCAAGACCTCCAATACAAGTTTTGGCTTGTCATATGAGGATATGAACAAGCTCAAGTTCCTGCTCAACTCAGTCTCTCCTTCTTCTAGTCCTTCTCCACCTACATCACCATCACTGAATCATCATGCATTTTCTGTGGCACAACATATTCCTCACTTTCCTAATTTTACTCGTAAGTATATTCTTTCTCCCTACTTACAACATCAAACAAATGCTCTCATGGGAATATGGATACTTGATACTGGGGCTTCATATCACATAGCCTGCAGCCTAGATCTTTTCATTGAGTCTACTCCAGCGCATAACCAATTTGTGTTCTTGCCTAATGGGACTAAAGTTGTTGTTAGTCATGTGGAAGAGTCAAACTACCTTCTGATCTGATCCTTGATAATGTCCTCCTAGTGTCTAGTTTTTCCTTTAATCTAGTGTTTGTTAGCAAACTCACAAATAACCTACCTATTTCCTTATACTTTGAATTTGATTCTTGCCAAATTCAAGACCTCATGACCCATAGCAGGACTGGTTTGGCACAACAGATTAGAGGCCTCTATCAATTAAATTGAAGGACTTCACAACCTTATTCGACTCACTTCCAAGCAACAACCACCTACAATTTCACCCCACAAAACATTGAACTATGGCACTGGAGGCTATGACATTTTCACAAAGAGAAAGAAAAACTCTTAGTTCCATGTAATAGGACCTCAGTTTGAGACTTGTCATTATGCCAAACAAAAATGGCTACCTTTCTCTGTTAGTTCTTCTTATGCACAGAATGCTTTTGCATTGATTCATGTGGATATATGGGGTCATATTGTTGTTAAATCCCATGAGGGTTACTCTTATTTCCTCACCATAGTCGATGACTACTCTATACGTGTTTGGACTTATCTGATGAAGTAAAAATCCGAGGCCAATAAGTTATTAGTCTCTTTTTTGTGTGATGATTGCCAAACATGTCATAGTTATCAGAAGTGACCAAGGGGTTGAGTTCCACATGGCTGAATTCTATGCCACACAGGGTATTGAGTATCAACTATCCTGTGTTGAAACACCTGAGCAAAATGCTAGGGTTCAAAGGAAACAACAACACATTCCCAATGTGGCTCATTTACTTAGATTTCAATAAGGTGTCCCTTAGAATTCTGGAGTGATTGTATTCTTCATACTATGTATCTCATAAATCGTATTCCCACTTTTGTGCTTGGAAATAAGTCAACTTATGAACTTCTTTATCACCAACCCCTAGTCTATCTGGCCTACGAGTGTTTGGTTGCCTTTGTTATGCTACCACACTCCATTGAGACAACCAAATTTGACAGTAGAGCCAAACAATGCATCTTCCATGGTTTCCCTTCTGGCATCAAGGGCTATAAACTGTGTGATCTTAACACTCATTACTTCTTTGTTTCACGAGATGCCACATTTTAAGAAACAATTTTCCCTTTTCACACTACCTCTTCCACCACTCAGTCCACTCCTCTTCCAGACCCCTTCACACCTGCCTTATCACCAGTTCCCAACTTCATTCTTTCACCTGCTATTCCTTCTTCTTCCCAGAATGTTCCATTTTTTCCCACACCATCACCATTGAAACAACCCGATGCTTTTCGAAAATAAAACCATAATTTAAACCAAAAACGGGTTACTCCGGAGCAACCCAAATCACATTAAAGGTCAAACCAAAAACCACCCAACGATAATATTCATAAACCTCAAATGAAAGCCATAAACACTTGGGCCAATCCCAAACCAAAATACTTAAACATAAACCTTGAGTTTCCCAGTATACTCATAAGACATGAAGAAAAGACAAATACGATAACAAGGGTCATATCTCATTACCCCGAGCCTTATGACATCTTCAAGCTTGCCGCGGCTGACCTCCTCGATTAAGCTCCTTGTGCTAGTTACGCCATCTCCCCCTTTCCACACCTGGTGAGTGAAAAGGGGTCAGTCTCGTCGTTCTTACTAATGTCTTTGCCTACCCCCGCTCTTTAAAATGAACATTTAATTGAACACACTCTAGAGACACGGGCTTGTTCACCGACCGTGTTCAATCTTCTGCCGATTCATTTTCCTAATGTATCAAAATGACACACCTACCCGAACACGGTCTAGCAACACAACCGTGTTTCAGACCGTGTTCTAGTCTATTCCTCTTTCAATATTTTCTTGAACCCAACCGTCTCCCAAATCTTTGGTCGAACCTTAATCAAACCTAAACCCAAACTCAGGGTGTTACAACCATCACCTTCTCCTTCCTCTTCTTCTTCTGCTCCTCCTGACCCTACCCCTTATAGTGAGGTGTCATGTTCACATTCTGTGGGGGAGGATGCTAAGATAGAGGTCTTCCCTGATGAGAACGACACTGATGAGGCTGAATACCTCAGGAAATTGACTAGAACTCACACTATCCATGTTTGGCACAAAGACTATCATGTCACTATAGTTGCTTCCTGCTCTAAACATCATGTATGGCAACACTTTACCTATGAGCATCTTACACCTGCACAAAAGTCTTTTGCTATGAGTGTCATTATGAGTGAAGAACATACTTCCTATGCTGAACCATGTAAAGATCCTAGATGGAATCAAGCATGCAATGAAGAGTTGGCAGCATTAGAGGAAAACCAAACCTGGGAGGTTGTGAAGCTACCACCAGGAAAGAAGGTCGTGGGGTGCAAGTGGGGTCCAAGTGGGTTTTCAAAATTAAACATAAAGATGGAACCATTGAGAGGTTCAAATCTAGAGTTGTAGCCAAAGGATACCCAAATATTTGGTATTGACTTTATGGATACCTATTCACCAGTGGCTAAAATCAACTCAGTCAAGACTTTATCGGCTGTAGCTTCTTCCAAGGACTGGCATATCCATCAAATGGATGTTTCCAATGACTTCTGGTGCAAATGTTCCTAGAGGTCAAGGACTGATTTTCAAACTCAAAAATTCCTTAAATAGTCTTAAACAAGCAAGCAGACAGTGGTTTGCTAAGTTAACCAGTGCCTTAATGAAAAATGGTTACTCTCAAACCTCATTAGATTACTCCATGTTTGTTAGATGGATTCAGGGAAGAGTTGTGGTGGTTCTAGTGTATGTTGATGACATATTAATTGCAAGTAGTTATTTGGGAGATATTGAGCAGTTGAAGATGTTACTGAGTAAGGAATTCAAGGTCAACTATCTTGGCCATATGAGTTATTTTCTGGGTTTGATAGTATTGAGAGATCATAAGGGAATCTTCTTGAGTCAAAGAAAGTATAGTCTAGAGTTGGTTACTGATACAGTTTATCTTGAAACTAAAGGTTGTCTCTATCCTGTTGATTGTAATGTAAAGCTCTCAGCAGCACAAGGGGAGTTGCTGCCAGACCCTAGTGTTTACATGACACTTATTGGTGGATTACACTACCAAACAATCACCAGGCCTTATGTTACATATGCAGTCCATCAAATATTACAATTCCAAAGAGCTCCATGTGTTGAGCATCTGCAAGGTACTCACAGGGTGATCAGGTACTTAAAACAAACTCCTGGACAAGGACTCATGTTCAAGTCAGATTCCAAACTTGAATTGTCAGATTTTTGTGATGCATACTGGGCAAGCTGCACTGACTCCAGAAGGTCATTATCATGCTATTGTACCTTCTTAGGTACTTCTCTGATCACTTCGGAGACCAAGAAACAAGCAATTGTCTCTCGATCATCCTCAGAAGCTGGATATAGAGACCTTGCACAGGTTGTTTGTGAAGTACAATGGCTCAAAAATTTGCTGCTAAAAATGGGAGAGCAGGTTCCCTTGCATATTCCACTTTTTTATGACAACAGATCATCTCTGCATATTGCAGAGAATCCAGTGCTCCACGACAGAAAAAAAACATATCAAGATTGGCTGCCACATTACAAGGGAAAGATTGAAGTCCTGTTTGATTCATTTGAGTCGTGTCATAACTAATGATCAGATTGCAGACATATTAACTAAAGGGGTCTCTCGATATCGTTTGTGGGGAGTATCATAAGTGAAGTTTGGATTGAAGTTTGGATTGAGAGTAATATAGCTGCTTGATGGAAATGAAGAACAGAGCGGGAGAATAAATGTTTCTTCCACTGCTTCTCCACCAACATAAGTGAAGGACGAGATGGCAGCGTTTAGCCCTAAACTTACCATTAGATGGAGAAAGCCAATGCCAACGTAGACGAGACATGGGGCGGATTATTTACTATTTTATGTAAATTACTTTTAACTTCCCTTTCCAGTTTTACTATTTGTATAAAATTTACCTTTAGCACTCATATATAAACAAAAGGAAGGAGGACCTTGCCTCCGTGCGGGTTTCCAAACCATACCGCCTCTCTTCTTTCTTCCTTCAAACTGTAACTCATTGAGCTTTTCTACATCCATTGAACCTGAAATTGAAAAGGAGTCAGACGTTTCTGAAAATAGAGAGGAAGTCACGAAAGGGAAGGATGATTCCACGATGAGAAGTTTCCCAAATCTGTCGACTTTGTATAACCGGAGGAGCTGTCTGAAACGGTGTTGGAACCTGTAATTGAAACAGGTTCAGACGTTTTTTTAATGTAGAGGAGTAGAACTAGGCATAAGTGGGTGGCCAGCGAGATCCTTTCCTCTCTTCTTCATTCTCGAGCGGTGCAACAATAAAGGTGGCGACAACGACAAAATTCTTGCAAGCAGCAGTCAACAGAGCGAGGACTTACTAGGACGAAAAATTGGACACAATTTTTTAAGGATTAGGAATAAGTTGGGGGCAAAATTTTCTATTTGGGTAAGTATAGGGAAAAGTATTTAAAAATTTAGGGCATTAAATAGAAGTTCAGTGCGAGTTTACTGTTTAGGAATGTAAAACTTCCATCTTCGAAAATCAAAGGAAGGGCATCCATAAATGTCTTCAAGAGATTGTAAAAATCAAGGGAATCCCTTAATGGAGTCTAATGGTAAGCTAAAACGATAAGATTCACCATATCCTAAGTTAACTTTTTTATTCATTGAAAGCACTTTTTTCTTATAGTTAAACTAATCCCTCGAATCTGGGCCTTTAGTTTTCAGTGGGATCAGAAGGGCTTAGATTTAAAGGGTGAGAATTAATGTCTTTTTGACTAGTCCCGAATATCACAATAAATATACCAATTAAGACCCAAGTATAAACCTTAACCGGGTGCAATTTAGGGCCAGTATGTTTTAAAAGTCAAACCCGGGTCAGTCCATGTCCCCCTATTTCGATTGTTTGAAACATTATTTAGCAATTGGTTTTTGGTTAAAACTACGATTTATAACTAAAACTATTAGAAAAGTAAATGGTTTGAACACTAATTGAGAAGGCTTCACCCAGGTGTTGCTCCCCCTGGCTAACAATCATGGTTAGTCGGATCAAATGCTAATATGTGGTAAAGTCGGTTGTAAACCGTAGGGAAGTGCAACAAGTGAACAACTATCACTCTCTCGGTCTCTAGGCCAAGGGATATCAAATCAATCTACCAAGGTAACTCTTTTGGCCCAATCAACTAAGGGTTGCCTACTTCACCCTCGAACTATAGTTCGGACGGCCAAATTACAACATACCATAGGTGCTAATACGCATTAAGTGGTTTACCCTAATTCAACCTAGCTAGGTGACACAATTGGCCAAGGAATTCCAGCTTTCACAAGCCTCTTAAAAGAAGGGTATTTCCCTCTACCGACGTCCAAATGACATAAGAATTGGAAATGCAAGAACACACACAATCTTCATAAAAATACCTAATAAATTGTTTTAAAACACAACCACACACAAGAAATTCAGTCCATACAAACATTCAAATAATTGTAGCTAAGGTTTACAAAGACCCAAGTGAAAGAAATGTCTACTCCATGCTAAGTAGAGGGAAAAAACAAGAGAGAAGAGAAAAAACCATCTTGGAGATGTTTGCCTTCTTCTTTGTGGTGTGGAGATCAATATTGGAGGAAGAAATTCCCAAAATCTAGCTCTTGGATAAAACCCTAACTTCTCTTCTCCTCTTGTTTGTCACTTTATCACTCTAGAAATCTGAAGAAGAAGAAGAAGAAGAAGAAGAAGAAGAAGAAGAAGAAGAAGAAGAAGAAGTGTCTCTCACTAGGTTCCTCCCCCTTTTTCTCTTTCAGCTCAGCCCCCCTTTATATACCCAGAACGATGGCGTGTCACGATCCCAGTTCAAGGCCGTGAACATCTGGCCCGGATCGTGATGTCAAGCTAAAACACGTCGTTTCATTAAGAGGGTTCACGGTCTTGAGCTAGTCTTCGCGGTCGAGTGACCGTGAACTAGTTTATGCCGCGAGATGGACAAACCCTTTTGTACTCCCCGCTCTTCACGGCGATGCATCCTCTTCACGGTTTGGATGACTGTGAACTGCTGGCCTCCA